AAAGGTGACATTTGGGGTTACACTTTTAGTGAAGACAGCTCTGTAAAGTGTCGTTCGTGCAAACAATTATATTGTGTTTAAAATGCGTAAAATATCTGAGGATATACGCTATGTGATACCTTCTTTTTACTAAAAAAAATTGTGAAAACGCTGCAAAAACATGCCGGAAAATTTGTGAAGTGTACGATGAGAAAGCCGTGAGTGAATGCCGCACCCAAAAGTGGTTTACTCGATACCGTTGCGAAAATTGTTATGTCAACGATGCATCTCGCTGCAAAAGGCATTTTTACCACCTGGACGAAAGAGGTCAGGCGCATGCAACCGCAATTGCCAATAAAATACAGAGCCGTAACAAAGTCATCAAATCGATCGCCGGCGGCACTTGGGGCAAATACAAAGAAACATTGTTGGCAACTTACAAGTACAAGGCGATTGGCCGGCCGGTTCCCCATTATGGAGCGCCTGTGTAGTATCCGGGTACAAGTATACCGCAGTGGATGAAGCTACAGACAGCATCCGGACAGCCATGGAATGCGCCCGATGTCGCCTGAACATCACATTCATAGTGAGGCTCAATTGCTGCCAGCAAAGAAGCACAACATCATGCTTAGCAAGCAGTTCTTAGTATGGACGGACGTTTGAGGCAAAGCCTCCGCCCAGGCACCTCAAGAGGCATCTATTCGAATATATGGACGTGATCCAGACCTAAGTGGAACAATCTTTGGACCCGATGACCAACCGACGAGTGATCAACGGCACTCGTAGGCAGTCGATCACCAACTACCCAGACTATTGACCTATGAATGTCGTGATGGGAGCCCAATCTCCACCCGTTGCAGACACATACTTTCAAATGCCGCAAGAGGCCCGCATTAATCTGGTCCAGTTGCATTGGAAGGTTATTGCCTATTATGAAGTCTTACTGCATGGCGAAACAATCTCGTTTGAACGACGTAATCAAGAAAGAGCGACCAGCAATGGACCTTGCATCAGCAGACCTCCATTTGTTTCGATTTCTGCAAAACTGTCGTGATCGTAAAAAATTGGCCGACTGAAGAGCCGCTGAAAATCACTTGGCAAAAGTGGAAGGTCATATGTATATAATAACTGCCAAAAAATAGGGGCAGGCAATTAAAGAACATTTTTTATTTAAAAAAATTACCCAGTTACCCAAATACACAGAGACTTTTCATATGGCCCAATATAATTGATATTGAAGATATCGGCCCCTATTATGAGTTGCATTCGATATTCGACTGTGGTCGAAAGTGCTGATCGAACGAATTTTCATTTGGTATTATGACGCTCATTCGCTTAAGAATAGCGCTATCGTGAACTGCACTCGTTTGGTTGTTCACAATAGTATATTTTTCACCGCTGAAAAGCTTTGTATACAATTCGAGCAAACCAAAAAAGTGTTCTTATACATATTTATGAAAATTTGTGCAAATTAAAAAGAAGTAAAAAGGGCGAATTTATAAGAATTTGGTAAAAATTAGTACAACGGAGTTCTGGCCGACGATTCGTCAGGGGATGAGGGGTTAGTAATCTGACCAGGAGTAGAAAACGTTTAAGTGTAGTCTTGGGAATATATTTTGACATACAATATATTTAGGAAATGCGTCTACAGAATTATTAAAAACTTCCGACTGTCTAAAGAGGCGTTTGTATAGAGCTGCAGTCCGCTACACAAAACCTGCTGCAGCAATGCTCTCGAGCTAAATCTGTTAAAAATATTTTAAAGCTCTACGATTTTGTTAACAGTGATCGTACCACCCGTGTATTGGGATTTTATTTCATAACTGAAAGCAGCCTTTCGAGCTTGTGTTTAGTATTCACGATCTTAGACCTGCATGAAATTGATAAAAATTGTTTCAAATGTAGTGTCTAGACGCCAAAAATTAAGAAAACAAACCATTGCCATTTTATCATAGTTGACTGGTTCGCCAGATCTACTAAGAAAATCGCCGGTGCAAAGGACTACATTCCGGTTTTTCAAACGTTAATCTGCCAATACCCGAGCATGTGAAAGAACGGCCACATAGAGTGCGTCTACTACAGCCTTCGCATTTGGTTGGTCCAAAAACAGTGCGAAAGTCGGAATTGTAATGCTCTCACCCCTAGGATTGTTATATATCGAAAAAAGTATACCACTATTTTTTTTTTATTTTGAAATCAAAAAATATTTAGAGGTCGCTCAAAGCGCTCAAAGTTTTCCATGTATTTTTATATGGGGAATATAAAATTTTTCGTAGAAATGGTATAGAATTCTTGAAAATCAATATTTTTCGATCGGAAAACTCGGGTTCTCTTCAGGAGACTTTCAATAATAATACCCAATTGTTTATTTAACCATTTCGCCTACGCAAACGCCAAAACGTACCAACTGGCGCCGAGTCCCCCGCTGCAGCGAAGCAGTTAGCCCACCACACCGTTTCAACCGCCACCGACGTCTATCCACTAACCCAGATTAGCGCAATTCTCCACCAACTAAGGAAGGAAAATACATTTGAGCTATAGATCTGAAAAATCGGTTATTGGCAAATACCGTTAGATTTGAAATCAAGCCAATACACCATATTCACCGTTCCTGGCAGAGGGCTATTTCAACGGAGTAACTCACTGTCACCTCACTGGCACCTGAACTCCAGCCCACAGTCCGAAGACATTCTTGAGGGTTTAGCTCAAGCGGCCACAAAAAGATAGAAGAAGTTCTTACTAGTGTTAAGAAAAAGGAAAATCGATACTTGCACCTCGACGGCTAAATTTTTTAAATTATTTTTTAAGTATTACTGCGGTTTTAATTTTTCTCTCTGACGTCAGGATTTTTTAAAAGGGCTTTGTCCAAAAATTATTTGAAAAATTCATTCCAATATAGAAAAATGTACCATATAGCGGATGCCGCTATGCAAATAATTTTGCAAAACCGATTTTCTCATAGGATTATCTGTTGCATAAGTAAATGGCGCGAGTGGCCAATGAAGAACGTGCCAGTTCACCGCGGTGAACTCAATCCACCGCTTCCCTTACAATCACTACAACCCATGCTATCGCCCAAATTCCGCCGGATCCATGCGGAGGAGTTATTCAAAAGTGACCCACCGTAATCTGTGCCACAGTGAGAAGCCTTGGCGGCTATTTGAACATTGGTCTCTTAAGTGAAAAACGTATTTCATTAATATTTCACACATAGCTTGTATAGATAGATCCCAGAACCAGCATAAAAACATTTTCGATCTCTAATGTTTTGGAGGTGGAATATGTACTTATGTGTCTTTCTGGTAAGAACTCTAGTTCCTAATGTAGCCCATGAAAATTCTGAGCATGCATGAAATACTTATGGCTCGGAGAGGTTCTCCCGAATAAGGGCGTTGAGCATGCGTTTTGCACGAAAATGAACTTAAGACGTGACGTCTTATAGGCCAGATCTTTACCTGCTATCAAAAGTCTTAAGTCGTCGGAGAGGTGTTTCTCTGGGGCACTTTCTAGGCTTTGACGCACTATGAACATCTGGTCAATGGTGGATGTTCCAGGTCTTAAGCCAAACTGATAAGGACCAATCAATTGGTTGGGAAATGTTCGCCACTGTGGACGTCTGTCAACAGATTTCCATCTTCGTCTCTGCAGGAACCCGCCCCAGTCTTGAAATCATTCTGCCATTAGCTCAATTATCGGCCATCTGCCGTTAGCGTAGCCTTTGCCGGGTGTCTTTGTAAGTTACGTATTTATCTGCACCAACGGTACAGCACTTTCCGTTATACCGATTGTTTTTGCCTGGGTGAGTAGTACCCAACCATTCCCTCTCCAGCGGTACAAAGAGATTGGGAGATGGCGTCCCACTGTTCATTTACGTAGTATATCCCGGCGATGGTAAGTTGCTTGTCGCAGCCGGAAGGAAACTCGATTCGAAATCTCCTAGTATTAAGAGTAGAGCACGAAATTGCTCTGCAGTCTGATGTCGAACTTTTGGCACGTTGCCTACTGCCGGGTCTTCATTGCATAGAGACGCATAGAGAATTTTCAGAAAGTTACAAAAAAAGAGGCATTGACGAAAAAAAGTTTCACCATTTTTCTTGCTTTTCTATACNTCTTCATTGCATAGAGACGCATAGAGAATTTTCAGAAAGTTACAAAAAAAGAGGCATTGACGAAAAAAAGGTTCACCATATTTTTTGCTTTTCTATACTAATAAAAGAATACGTCTGAGGTTTTAGCTGTAATAAGTTGTAAATAAATATGTGCATATTTTAAAATAAATGATCGTTGTTGGCACAACATATTTCATATACAAGGAACCATATAGAAAAATTCAAAACAGGGTTGCAAACATGCACAGAAATCGAGTTGCTGCAAGGAGAAGAGTTGCATTTCCTTTGAACTTTTTAAGTGATGTATCTAGGTATCCTGTTTATCAAGATCTAACAAACTTGGTATAATTATTGTGCTTGACGCAAAAATCAAAACCTTAAAAATGTTTGAAATCGAGACTGAAACTATGTCAATTTTTCATATAACGGTAAATTTCAGAAATACGGAAACTTCGATATGTTGCAATTTCAGGACGTTCATTTACTCAAAGTTAATACTCACACCAATCTCTAAAAAATAAATAAGATTATTATGGATTTTCGGCAATTGAACGTGGCACCGCCTACTTATGACTACATAAGTTTATCTCGGTAACCGCTTCATCGGTTTCTACCAAACGTGCTTAAATTTTTTCATTAAATCTAACTGTGCATATTATTGAAAATGTTTGAAATAGTGGTAAAACAGCCCCTGCTTACCATGCAACGGTAGTTTTCAGAATGGTGGAAAACTATATTTAATACGTTCGCCTGGTATTTAATTGTACACTTATTTACTTGTTTTATTTTGAAATCGGTTAATATTTAGCCGTGCCGCTGGTGCAATAAAATCGTTAAAAAGAAATATTTTTAGATCGCATATAAAATTTATGATGCATATTTAATTTTAAAATTTGACTAATACCTACGCAGGGGCGGTACAAACAAACATCGAAGACGCGGCGACCGTCGGCCCACAACGCGGCGAATACACCACCGAAGACATAACGCGTGAAACAAGCGAAAGCGATACCGCCAGAGGAGAGTACCCAACATGCACTCAGCAGCTCGAAGCCGAAATGAAGGATTTCCAGGAGAACTTCAAATTAAAACGCCCAACAAAGAAAAGGAAACGCTGGATGCTCAAATACAAAAATAAAACGGTCTTGGTCGCGAAACGAGGGGCAGACCACGCCACCGTTAAATACCGGGGCATAAAATACGATATGAAATTCGTCGACTAGAAGTGCGCACCACCAGCCAGGCCACTCCAACTCGCTTCACTCGCACTGGATGTTACTTTTATTAGTTTCTCTGATCTATTTTTACACATTAATACATTTACACGTAGAACGTGGCCGTTAAGTTCAGATATAAAAAAATCCCTTATACAATATATATATATATATGTACGTAGAACATAACGTCGGTGATACTGCAAAACGGTCTGTCTATTAGTAGCTTTGACACTTATATGGTCTCTTTCTTGCACCGGAATGCATCTGCAAATCTTTACACCCTAATAAACGAATGACAAAACTGTCTACCTTTGGCTGATGAAGATGAAACGATTGCCAGAAGCGATCAGATACAGATAACAGATCAATTAAGCACCAGACGTAATGAGTGACAGAGAACGCTTTGCAGTGTTACCGACGATAAGTAAAATGCGAAAATTCTTTTTTGTGAAAGATAATAGTAATAATAAATTTGGTTACCACACACACACACACACACACACACCGGCCTAGCCACCGTACTCCGTGCGATGGCAAATCTGCCTATAGGTAGTGAAGATCCAATAGGACCCAAACGCTTGAGTCCCGCAACCTTTCGTCCGCCGAAGTGTGGGGGGTATGTAACGTAGCATTCGCTAAGATACAATCACATACCGCACCGTACATACATACAATACTGTCCATACATACAATACTGCACATATACAGACCATCATGTGAGCCCTGCTAGCAGCACAAAAACAGCATGCTCGAACAACTCACCAACCACTTCGTTCACCAAACTGCATAACCCGGGACAGCACACTACGAATTTTCACCAAGGGTATATAAAAGGCTGAACAAGTGCGCAGTCAGGCCAGTCTTGCTAGGTAAGCTAATTTGCCGCCGGCTGGTTGAGTCTCAGCCACCGCTGCCTCGTTCCAGCCCCTACACATGTAGAGTGCGATTATGGAAGCTTTGCTAGGTCGCTTCGCTCCATCGTTTGCCGAGCCGCCGAGTACCACTAGCACCGCGGAGGATCATCCGTTGGGCCGACTAGAGCGGCATCCGCTGTGCCTTAACCATCGAGAATCATCTGCTGTGCTGCCGCTGGTCTCCAGTTGCTACGGAGAATCACCCGCTGTACTGCTAGCGCTCTCACGGTTGCTCTCCAGTCGCTTCGCCGTTGCTGAGAGTCACCCGCCGCGCTGCTGGCGCGCTCACCGTCATTCACCATTTGACTCGCCATTACTCACCGTCATACGTTTTGACCCGACAACAAACGAACGTCATCAGTCTCTCGCTCTCTCCCTCTCTTTGGACGACAGGTTGCCGGCACTCTAGTCATAACGCCGTGTGTGTGTGTGCGCTCCAATTAAATATACGAGAATATTGTGTTTTTTTTTGGTGGAGGTTAGTGGGCCCTTCGCTGGACTCTGGATCGGCTGAGCTCACCTCAGCCTTCGAAAAAACCCGCCTCACGTAAATGGCGCCCGAGCAGGGACCCAGCTATGCAGGTGTATTTGCAAAAAACTCAACACTGCAGCAGCGGGTTAACAGAATACACCGCAACCAACAGATGACACACACGCCAGCGAAAATAACACCCTCCCTTAGCTGGATATAACTGCTAAAGCAGGAGAAGCTAAGAGAAGAGTACAAGTGGCACCGAGCTGCGCAACGCGCTTAGCGCATATGTAAAGGCGAAGCGCAACCTCAAATCAAAGGAAGAACTACTGAGAGACCTGGAAGACGAGATTTAGGCCCTTAATAAGAGTTGCATTCGATCTAGGCTGGTTGTCGAAAATCGAAGATCGAATGTGAAATTCGTATTATGAGCTATGTCGAAATTTTCGTTAAGTATCGAATATTCAGTCGAAGAGAATTTTGCTTTCGATGGTGTAGCAAAGTGTGAGAAAATTGTGAAAAAGGATGATTTTGCGTTTGTTTTCTTACTTTTTGGCGGCTAGACTCTAATTTAAATTTTTTTTTTATAAATTCCATGCAGGTCTAACTAAGCTCTCCTCCTCTGATGAATCGTCGAACCATAATTCCGTTGTACTCATTTTTACCAAGTTTTTACAAACTCCTTCCTTTTTACTTCATTTTAATTTGAACACATTTACATACATGCGTATGTATAAGCACACTATTTACTTTGGAAACCTTCTCAGCGATCAAAAATTTACTATTGTGAACAACCTAAAGGTGCAAAATTTACAATAGTACTATTCTTCATCGCATGAGCGTCATGATACCAAATAAAAACAACAACCCACCGCGACGTACTCGAGCACGTACGAATATGCGTGCGCTGCGCCGAGTGTAAGGTGGTCGGTCCAAACAAGGAAACACGTGCCTCCTCGTCCTGGTCGATAAATTCTTCAAGTGGGTTGAACTACTCCCAGTACGCCAGGCGAACACCGCAAATGTCACTAAAGCGGAGAGAGTCGTGTACCGTTTCGCCTGCCCACCCATCTTTCTCAGCGACAACGGGAAGCAATTCGTGGGCAAAGCGCTAGCGGCATTCCTCAGCGAGCACCGCATAAATTCACTGCAGCATACGCCTCTCACGAAAACCCGACCGAACTAGCCAATCGGCTCACTAAAGCCATGGTAGCTCAGCGTTCAAAACAGACCAGGACCTTCCCCAGATCTCCTTCGCTATGAACACGGCTCAGCACGGATTCACGCAAGCTTCCGCCGCGGATATAAACTTCGGACGCAATCCAGCATCGCTACGGCAGATACGCTCCGAAGGGGCAGTACCTAAAGAGCACCCCACAGCACCTCCAGCCTTCAGATGGGCAGAGTTAAAGCGACACCTCACCGCGGCAGTCAAACAGCAGAAAAAGTACTACGATCTACGCAGACGGCCATGGAAACCTAAAGTGGGGGAGACGAGATCATCACCCACTCTCCTCTGCTGCCGACAACTACGCACAGAAATTTGCACACGGTGAATCTCGCCAACCCCGAGCGGACCGACAAACCACGAGCGCACGCACACCTGCAGGACCTAAAGCCATTAACACATAAACAACCGATCAACGACCGAAGCCCGCCGCGATAAAACCAACATCCACTCTCCATCTTCTCGTTACACGATGTAGAACTCTCACCAGAGCGAATAAAAATCCTCGCCGAAGACTCCTACCGACCGATTCCTAAAAGTTGGTGAGAGAAAACGAAGAAGCCGCAGGGACCTAGCCGCGGGAACTTGCAAATACTGCGCGCTCATCCGCCATAGGTCCAAGAGAATCTCAGACCACCAAAGTGGACAGGGGGTAGTGTGAGGACCATATATTCGAACGAAATTTGGTACACATGAGCGTCCACTCCTCCCAAGCAGCTACACCAAAACCAACGATCTATAACACCAACAAGGGCATACTAAAACCAACGGCGAAGTCGCGCCATCTACACTGCATCTAGCGTCAACATGTGCCTACACGATCAAGGTTAGAACTTTACTATGGTAAATTTTTGAGAAATTCTATTGCGCTGCTCCACTTTCCTCACTTTCTGCACGATTCACTTCGATCATCTCAATCCAAAAAAAAAAGATGGTGAAGTCGTGTGTTGTCTCCCGTTTTAAAACTTACAGACGTTGTGCTCGCTATTGGAAAGCTACTTGTGAAAAGTGATTTATTTGTAAACGGTCCACTCCCATACAACATTTCACTTCTCAGAAGTAGACACCCGCGGGGTGAGCGTGGATGGGTAAAGTGGTTCACCCCATATCCATCAAACGCTCCGGACTAGTGTTATCAGATTACAAAAGCCGAGGCTAAATTTATGTTAAAAAAGGTTAAGAAAGTTTATGCAGAAAACGAAGTTTAACAAGTATAAAAAATACTAAGTTTGGGCGAAGCCGAACATTAAATACCCAACGCAAGTATTAATTGCAGTTTTTTAACGTTTCTGAAAGCTGCCATTATATGGTAAGCAGGGTGTTTGTACACCTATTTCAAACATTTTCTAAAATATGTTCAGTTAGACTTAAGGGGATAAACTTATATAGTCATTAGTGGCCGATACCATACCCATTTTCCAAAATTCCGTAATAATCTTATTTCTTTTATGGGATATTTGGTATCAACTTTGAGTAAATTAGTGTGCTTAAATTTCGAAACATCGAAGTTTCAAGCATATCTCAAATTAACCATTATATAATTTTTAACGTTTTGATTTTATGTGTCAAGTACAATAAATGTGCCGAGTTTGGTAGAAATTCACGGACCGGTTACCGAGATACACATACGTATGTATGTGGTCATAAGTGGGCCATGCCACGCTAAAGAATTATTGGAAATATAAATTTTGAGTAAATTCGCTTAAGCACTTGCTGATTTATCAAAGATTCCGAATTTCTCTAAATTACCGTTATATGCGATGTGGGCCTGGTTATTGTCCGATTTTAAAATTTTTTGGCCGTTTGATGTGATTTAACGGGACCAACAATTGTGCCAAATTTAGGAGAAATTCGCGAAGCGGTTACCGAGATATACACATCTAATCATAAGTGGGCGTGGCTACGCCCATTTCCTAAAAATCTTTGTAACGATCAATTTCGAGTGAATAAGCTTTAATAGTTATATGGGAGGTAGGCGTGGTTATTGTCCGATTTTGGCCATTTTCAATACCATCCGTCCTACGCTGGGAAGAAGTACAATTTGCAAGTTCTGTTAAGATATCTCAATTTTTGAAAGTGGCACAAGTCACTGCACACCTCTTCTGCTTAAATGGCGGGTTACTTATGTATATTTGCACGCATCGGTTATTCGTTCAACTTCATCAATCAAGGCTAGAAGGTTTTGTCGCCAGTTTATGACGATGTCGTAATTTACAGATGAATTCCTCAGGGCCGCTGTCACCGCGATAACAAAAAAGGGCGGCAATCACCTTCATCGCAACTAGGGCCGTCAACACTGTTTCCGCCGCGGAAGATCGCTGCCTCCCTCACCACTATTTGGACCACTGCCCACGTCACTGCCGGGGTCGCCACTACCTACAAGAGGTTACTGCTGCCGTCACGATCGTCGATGCCGCTCTCATTGTCGATTTCGCCACTCGCTCACGCCGTCCCCTTTAGATACTCACCGAACCACCTCCGCCCCTCTGAACCACGACGTCGATCGTCGACCAGCTGGCCTCTCCCTCTCAATACCTCTCGCTCCTGTACTCTTCCAGTGGAAGGTGTATACTCCTCCCCAGAAACCTTCCAACGCGCTCTTGACTCCAACCCCGGACCCAAAATTCAGCCCAAGGTATTCGATTATCTAGATGACATCATAATACTGGGCGACTAGTTTTCCAAACGCATGATCTACTTCCGCGAAGTCTTTGAGAGGCTTCAGAAACATCAGATGCAGATTGATTTCGAGAAATGCAGCTTCGTCAGCAGAAGCTCAAGCAGTTCTCAAGCAGGACCAGAAATGAATAATAGAGAAAGTCACTACTTTGCTGTCCTCATTTACTCGACCTTCCTTTCTGCAAACTGACGCCAGCAGCGATGGGCTCGGCGCCGTGCTATTTCAACGCCACTCCGAACAAGAGAGGGTCGTAGCCTACGCCTGTAGGAAGGAGCCTCTCGGACTTAGAAAAACGCGACTATGCCAGCGAGCTAGAGTGCCTGGTCGTCTTGTAGGGAATCCGAAAGAGGAGGCCGTGCTTGGAAGTATATCGGTTCACCGTAATCACCGATCACCAATCACTCGTAAGGGCTGCGCTCACCACAAAATCCCTCCAGATGATTGGCCAGATGTGGGCTCGAACTACAATAATTCAACTTC